TCATATTAAAACATTTTTGTAATTAAAATTAAAAAAATACTTTTAATATAACATCATTTTAAATATTGAGTTGACCTATTCAGATAATTTACGATAGAATTATCTAGTTCAGTGGTCGGCAACCTTTTTTAATTCTCGGGCCACATTTACAAATTAAAAAGAGTTCGCGGGCCAAATAAAAAAAAAAAATTTATAATTACATTATTTATTATGCAAAAAAATACTATCTAAAACTTAAAATAATAATATGACTTATATAAAATACCCGTACCAAAAACGCAACGTTCAATTATATTTATACAAAATGATATTCAATTAAATTAGTCGATTTAGAATTTAAAGCGGGCCGTATTCAATAGCCACGCGGGCCGGATACGGCCCGCGGGCCGCCGGTTGCCGACTACTGATCTAGTTTAATGTAAGAATTTTTTTTTGTATATAACAAAGAAGTTTTATTCACGTAATTACTTTTCAATACCCAACAAAAGACTTTTTCCAACCAAACCCAACCCACGCACTATTGCCATTAACGCTGCTAACTTTTTAACCCCCGAAGATCATGCTGGACACTGCGTCACCGATGCTAGCGATAGTGCCACGATATTATGCGAAGATTATTGTTAATTGTGTTCGTTTTTCGGTTAGTATATTTTAAATAAACTGTTCTTGCTTACTAATACACAGCCCACGGGTTTCTACTCTCAAGTATTGAGTGTCGACTACATTAATGCGATGTAAGTCGTGTCAACTTTATAATTCATTTTAACATTATCTTTATTAAAGTTATTTTTTCAGTCTTCACCACGCATTAATGATCAATTTTTTAATTTAGTGGTGTTTCAACCAATAATTTATTGATAGATTTTTAAATTTTAACTAATCTATGATTATTATATTACAATAATTATTGATATGTTTTATGACCATAATATGTTAAGATAGCCCTATAAACTGTTTTTTGATAGTATAATTATTTAATAAAATTATTTAAATCAAATTTACCTTCGTTAAATATCAAACATGAAATTATTATAAAAAGATATATCAATTGCCAGTTCTGGAATAAAATAATCTTTTAGATATCAATAAAGTACTTCATATTAAGTGGATTACTCACCTCCATTTTACACCTCTTAATTTTACTCAAATATTATATACTGAATAACTAATGCCAATTTTTTATTTAAATAAGTGTTTATATAAAAAATTATCTGTCAAAATGTATTATTTTATGATATTATTTAGTTTAAAAACATATTTACTTAACTATTTTAGTCAATCTCTTCATATACATTTTAAAAAAATAAGGGACATCAGGATTTATATAAACACATTCTTAATTTAATCAAATCTAGCGAATTTTTAATACAAATACTATTATTAATTTATTTTTTATACTGTAGAATAAAATTATATTTTTATACTATATACTATATATATTATTTTGGTACGATCCAACTTTTAATTTTTATTTTTGTGTGTGTGTCACCTACGTACATTGTATTTATTTTTAAGTAATACTAAAATAGTAATCTAAAATAATGATATTTAAATTTTTTGATCATTTTTAAAAAGTACAATTGATTGAATGTATTTATTTTGAAATGCATTGACGTTATTATTCATACTTTTAAATTAAGTATGAGCAATACGTGATTTGAAAACTTATTATTGAGTAAAAATATAAAAAAATGTAACATTATTTTTACAAAATTTCAGTTAAATAATAAATTTTAATATGATTTATTATTTATATTAATATTAAATTGAATCATCTTAGCTAATTTTTTATTTTCTTTATTTTTAATACTTACGTGATGGAAAATTTCTCATAATATTTTTAAAATTTTCATGCACATGAAATGAGTTATTTTATAAATTATTTTATTTTTCATTAATTATTATTTTTGAAACTCTTTGTTTGGTAGAAAAATGTCGAGAAAAATAACTTTGAAATTTGAACTAGCATTAATGCCATTTTTATTCGGTTGACTAATGCGATGTATGGTTGCCGAATCGTTAAAACTTATGATTCTAAGGCTTAGTGTACAAGGCTCGACCCGCCTGTGAGATGAATATTTTGCATTTTGTTCTTTATCCTTTTTGATATAAAAACAAATTTTTAACTAGTTTGATTTTTATCTTATTTAAATTCAATAACTTCAATAAAGATCAAGGATTTCTCTCTGTAGTAACCCTTCGTGAGAAGAAATTTCTTATTCATATTAAAATTATTTTACTATATGGTTTCTTTTTGTGTCTATCATTTAAATTCTCAGCTCTCATTTGATCTACATTTTTCAATGATGCGTCAAATGATTACAATCGTATCTAGTTGAAGATATTACCCTTAAATATTGAAAAAAAATTATATTTTACCAATTAAACAGTATTATTAAACATATCCCATGTTCTCCTATTAAAATCATTAATTTATAATGTTTTAAATGTTTTATAACAAGGTATTTATTGACGAATTAAGTTTGATTTGATTATAGGTTTCCACTACAAAATTAAATCATTTTACTTTGTAATTTATAAATATTTTTAATCTATGTGCGTGTGCTACTACCAGTTTATAATTTTCCAATTTTTTTGGTAACATATTGTTGTATAAATCATTTCTAAAAATAATAAGTTTTAGTTCACCTGAATTTAACAATGGATTTTTACAATTATTACAACATTTTTTAATACGCTCTATCGAATAGATCTTTTTAATTATTATTTATTGATTAGTTGTTTTAGTTTAAGTAAATCATTATAATTAACTCAGTTCTGTATATTTCAATTGTAGAATCTTTTTAAACACCAAATTTTACTAAGAATTTATTACAATTATTTCAATTTAAGTGATCTATTACGATAAAAATTTAAAAAAATTGAGCTTTACTGATAAATTTACTAAAACTAGTGATTATAAAATTTCCTGACTGCATATTAATCTTAACAATACAATTTTTTTAATTGTCATAAAATTTTCTATTTAATAATGTAAATTTCAAACTTGCAAGTTGAGCGAAAAGTTATAGTAATGAATTTATTTATTTTATTATAAACTTTCACAAAAATCTACTTTAAACGATTAAAAAAATAGTTTAAATATGTCGTTTTCCATATTTTTAACATATTAATAATCAAAATCAGTACTAATTTAAAACAAATTTATTTTGTTCTTCATAATTTTTTTTTTATATGTAAATATTTATTTTTCAATAATAAGTAATAAATAATTACTAATAATATTAAAACTCACAAGTAATAGAAAAAGTTTAATTGCACATTTAAAAACAGGGCGAAAGGTTGATTTAGAAAAGTATATTTTAGCTTCTGATGAAAGTTCCTTATAATACAGTGTATTTATTCCTAAGTAACGAAAATTTATGATAGAAAATATTGCATCAATCCCTGAACATTTTTATTCGCGTTAAAAAATTTGTTTCGGAGCGTTTCTTATGATAGTGATTTTAATCATACTCAGATACCATCTATATTTGTCGCAACTCTGCCAAGTCCATACTTTGCCGCGACCGCAATGTAATATTGTTTTTCCTTTAAATAAACTGTAAATATTATTTTTTAGTAATACAATAATTTGTAATAAGTTTGTTATAATTTATAAACCGTGTCTTGAAGTAATTTAACATTTATATAAAAAATAATTCAATTATAATCCATATATTTTTATGATCTATTACATAAAAAATGAATTGTGAGAGCATTTTAGAATTACCAGTATATATTATTAATATACAGGTTAATTCTATACATATTTACTGTAATTATTAAATAAATTATAAAAATTTGTGTAGCAATGTAGCATTTTTGTAACTAATTATGAATATTTTCTTTTGTATTTATTGTGTTATAAACTTTAAATACATGATTGGAAAATCGGACATTTATTATTAAGAATTTTGGATATAATTTCAAAAATAGTATTTATTATGCAAGTAAAATTACATGATTACTCACAATATAATTATTATCATTTAGATCATGACGATTTAAAATATAATGTAATGGAATGTAAAAAATAAATAATAATTTATCAGAAAACTAATTAATGCAGCCATTCTCGTTAGCATATTTGATTATTTCAATAAAACCTTTTCTAGTAGCTTCATAAATGGTATTTATACTCCATGGACAATTATGTTCATGGGCGTATTTTAAACAATGAAACTGACCATTTGCAGCAGCAAGCCTAGTGGTGCCTTCATCCCATTTACATCCATTTTCGTGGGCATATATTAAATAATCTAAATTTCCACGCATGGCAGCTGTAACTATTGTACCTTCATCCCAATTACATCCATTTTTATGAGCAAATTTCAGACAATCAAAACAACCACTTGCAGCAGCTTCCCTTGTTGTACCCTCATCCCATTCACAACCATTTTCATAAGCATATTTGATGCATTCTAGATGTCGATTTGCAGCAGCGCCTCTCATCGTACCTCCGTTCCATTTATATCCAAGTTCATATGTATATTTTAAACATTCTAAATTACCATGCGCGGCAGCTGTATTTAATGTTTCTTCATGCCATGGACACTCCTTTTCATGAGCATAATTTAAACATTCTAAACAACCACTTGCTGCAGAAACTCTAGTTGTGTCATAATCCCATGGACATCCATTTTCATGTGCATATTTTAAACAATCAAAATAACCATTAAAAGCAGCAGCTTTAATTGTGTCATTGGCCCATTTGCAACCCTTTTCATGAGCATATTTTAAGAATTCTAAATTACCATAAATGACAGCAACTTGTGTTGTTTCTTCATCACAAGGACATCCATTTTCAAGTAGATATTTAAAAATTATTAAATTACCATTCATTACTGCTGTAACTATTGTACCTTCATCCCATTTGCAACCGTTTTCATGAGCATATTTTAAAAATTCTAAATTACCAAAACTTGCAGCTGCTATTGTTGTTCTTTCAGGCCAAGAAAATCCATTCTCATGTGCATATTTTAAAATGTCAAAATAACCTTTTTCTATAGCCACAGTTGTTATTCTATTATCTAATGGACATCCATTTTCATGTGCATATTTTAAAATTTCAAAATAACCTTTCTCGATAGCAACAGTAGTTATCCTATCATCTAATGGGCATCCATTTTCATGTGCATATTTTAAAATTTCTATATCATCTCTTAAAGTAGCTTCTATAGCTATGTTATCATCTAATGGACATCCATTTTCATGTGCATATTTTAAAATTTGTATATTACCTCTTAGAGTAGCTTCCATAGTTATTTCATCATCTAATGGACATCCATTTTCATGTGCATATTTCAAAATTTCTAAATTACCTCTTATAGTAGCTTCTACAGTTATGTCATAGTCTAATGGACATCCATTTTCATATGCATATTTCAAAATTTCTAAATTACCTCTTAGAGTAGCCTCTATGGTTATGTCATCATACAAGGTACATCCATTTTCGTGAACAAATTTTAAACAATTTAAATTTCCTCCTATAACAGCATATCTAGATATGTCTTTATTCCAGTGGCATCCATTTTCATATGCATATTTTAAACATTCGAAATGTCCTTTTGCAGCGGCCTCCATAGTTATGACATCATCTAATGGACATCCATTTTCATGTGCATATCGTAAGCATTCTAAACGCCCATATTTTGCAGCTGCTATCGTTATACTTGCATCCCATAAACATCCATTTTCATGTGCATATTTTAAACAATCTAAATTACCTCCTATAATAGCATATCTAGTTATGTCTTTATTCAATTGGCATCCATTTTCATGTGCATAGATTAAACATTCTAAATATCCATTTTTTGCAGCATATATCGTTGTGTTTACATCCAATGGACATCCATTTTCATGTGCATACATTAAACATTTTAAATGCCCATTTGTTGCAGCATATATCGTTGTGCTTACATCCCATGGACATCCATTTTCATGTGCATATTTTAGACATTCTAAATGTCCATTCAAAGCAGCTTTTCTAGCTATTTCTGCATTCCAAATACATCCATTTTTATGTGCATAGATTAAGCATTCTAAATGTCCATTGGTTGCAGCATATATCGTTGTACTTACATCCCATGGACATCCATTTTCATGTGCATATTTTAAACATTCTAAATGTCCATTTGCAGCAGCATCTCTAGTTGTTTCTTCATCCCAGCTACAGCCATTTTCATGTGCATATTTTAAACATTCATAATGTCCATATAAAGCAGCAACTTTTGTTGCTTTTTTATTCCATTTACAGCCATTTTTATGAATATATTTTAAGTTTTCTAAATTACCATAAAAAGCGGCTGCTATTATTGTGATATCATCCCACGGACATTCATTTTCATGTGCATATTTTAAACATTCGAAATGTCCATTCGCAGCAGCTTCTGTAGTCGTGTATTCATCCCATTCACAACCACTCTCGTAAGCTAGTTTTAATGTTTCTAGGTCACCAATTTTAGCAGCTTTTTTTGTGGTACCATTTTCAAACGGGCATTTTTTTTTTCCACCCAAATATTTATTTTCAATACCTAAATGAGCACGTTAATTAAATTTTTTTTGTTGTATTCAAATTTAATTAGATTACTTAAAATTATGTAAGCAAATAAATAAGATGCCTAAATTTTTTTCCTTCTCTATTTTCTTTAGTTATAAATATTTTGTTTGAATATATTGGTATTAAACAAAGAAGTTCATTTTGAAAAATATATTTAAATTAAAACTTTTTTGTAATTAAAATTACAAAAATACTTTTAATATAATATTATTTTAAATATTGAGATGACCTATTCAGATAATTTACGATAGAATTATCTAGTATAATGTAAAAATTTTTTTTGCATAGACAAAGTAGTTTTATTCACATAATTACTTTTCAATACCCAACAAAAGACTTTTTCCAACCAAACCCAATCCACGAACTATTGCCATTAACGCTGCTAACTTTTTAACCCCCGAAGATCATGCTGGACACTGCGTCACCGATGCTAGCGATAGTGCCACGATTTTATGCGAAGATTATTGTTAATTGTGTTCGTTTTTCGGTTAGTATATTTTAAATAAACTGTTCTTGCTTACTAATACACAGCCCACGGGTTTCTACTCTCAAGTATTGAGTGTCGACTACATTAATGCGATGTAAGTCGTGTCAACTTTATAATTCATTTTAACATTATCTTTATTAAAGTTATTTTTTCAGTCTTAACCTCGCATTAATGATCAATTTTTTAATTTAGTGGTGTTTCAACCAATAATANTTTTTTCAGTCTTCACCACGCATTAATGATCAATTTTTTAATTTAGTGGTGTTTCAACCAATAATTTATTGATAGATTTTTAATACATACATTTTGTAATAGTAAAAGCTTTTATTTACAGTCTTAAAAATAAGATTTTGCAGTTAAAAAAATTGTTTTACAAACCAAAATTTTTTAATGAAATTTTGAAAATTAAATTTTTTTTATAATATAATTTTGATTAATACACATAATTTTGTAATTTATTTATTTTTTAATTTTTATCCATATTTAAATATCATATAGTAACAAATAATGTCTTTGAATTAAAAAAAATGAACTTTTTTGTACATATTTTATACTTTTTTAGAAATGGGGTCTAATAGACCCCCACGCGACTATGAACGTTAAAAATAGGTACGTGCCTGCTTAAGGGTTAAATAAAGAAGTTAATTTTGAAAAATATATTCATATTAAAACATTTTTGTAATTAAAATTAAAAAAATACTTTTAATATAACATCATTTTAAATATTGAGTTGACCTATTCAGATAATTTACGATAGAATTATCTAGTTCAGTGGTCGGCAACCTTTTTTAATTCTCGGGCCACATTTACAAATTAAAAAGAGTTCGCGGGCCAGATAAAAAAAAAAAATTTATAATTACATTATTTATTATGCAAAAAAATACTATCTAAAACTTAAAATAATAATATGACTTATATAAAATACCCGTACCAAAAACGCAACGTTCAATTATATTTATACAAAATGATATTCAATTAAATTAGTCGATTTAGAATTTAAAGCGGGCCGTATTCAATAGCCACGCGGGCCGGATACGGCCCGCGGGCCGCCGGTTGCCGACTACTGATCTAGTTTAATGTAAGAATTTTTTTTTGTATATAACAAAGAAGTTTTATTCACGTAATTACTTTTCAATACCCAACAAAAGACTTTTTCCAACCAAACCCAACCCACGCACTATTGCCATTAAGGCTGCTAACTTTTTAACCCCCGAAGATCATGCTGGACACTGCGTCACCGATGCTAGCGATAGTGCCACGATATTATGCGAAGATTATTGTTAATTGTGTTCGTTTTTCGGTTAGTATATTTTAAATAAACTGTTCTTGCTTACTAATACACAGCCCACGGGTTTCTACTCTCAAGTATTGAGTGTCGACTACATTAATGCGATGTAAGTCGTGTCAACTTTATAATTCATTTTAACATTATCTTTATTAAAGTTATTTTTTCAGTCTTAACCTCGCATTAATGATCAATTTTTTAATTTAGTGGTGTTTCAACCAATAATATATTGATAGATTTTTAAATTTTAACTAATCTATGATTATTATATTACAATAATTATTGATATGTTTTATGACCATAATATGTTAAGATAGCCCAATATACTGTTCTTAGATAATATAACATCTGTTAAATTTACTAAATAATTAAAAATCTAATAAAAATTTCAAAATCGATTAATGACTTATTTTATTATGTCAGCCTTTAATTTGATAAGAAAATAGAGAAATGTAAACCAATGAATCAAAATCAAAGTTTTTAAACATTATAAAAAATTTGATTTATGGAAAGTATTTTTCTTATGGAGGGCTTATCACCCTCATATGAGGGTTAGACCATCTAATATTTTTTGAAAATATTTCACATATTAGATATAAGTTAAGAAATTAATTTGATAATCTACTAATAGACATAAATAATATAAAATCAAATTTACCTTCATTAAATATCAAAAATGAAATTATCATAAAAAAATATATCAATTGCCAGTTCTAGAATAAAATAAAATTATAGATACTAATAAACTACTTCATACTAAGTGTATTACTCACCTCAATTTTACACCTCATAATTTTAATTAAATATTATATTCTGAAAAACTAATGGCAATTTTATTTTTAAATAGCTGTATATATAAAAAAATTATTTGTAATAATGTATTATTTTATGATATTCTTCAGTTTAAGAACATTATTTACTTAATTATTTTAGTCAATCTATTCATATACATATAAACAATTTTTTTTTTTGTGTATGTCACTACTTTTTTCTGCTAACTGGAAATATTTTTTTCAACGATACTTAAAATATTTCGTATCTAGATAAATTATTCTCAAGATGAAAAAATACAATTATTAAAATCGATAAGCGTTGTTATTTTTTAAACTTTTGTTACATAAAACTGTCATAATTTTTTTTGATTGAATTAATAAAAACAAATTTTTTTTATAACTACCTAAGATATTTCCTTTTGATTTGTTATATTTTTTTTGAAAATCTGACTATTAACCTGTTTACAGGAGTATATTATAAATAGCAACGTTATTAATCTAAGAAATACTCCGAGCTTATCCTGGTTAGCAGGACCACAGAATCGAATTTTTTATTTTTCGCTCAAAAGAATGCTTGGTATTTCAAAAACATATAGTTAAAATCTCAAGCCGTACCTGATCTACTTATCTCTGAAACCGCGCATCGCGTGTTTGTTCGGTGCCCGGGCCGCCCGGCGCCAATAGATAGATCGGAAGGCAGCTATCGCTGCCAGTATCATTTTTCTTTCTTCTATTGTCATTTGAGAAGTCATCTCAGGTAAAATATTTACTGATAAGCTACTCTATCTATGTCTCGTACGAACATTAAGTATAATCTGATAACTTAAAAAACTATAGTTTTGCTTCGGTTTTTCGTGCGCATAGGCGTTTACCGCTATAGATTTTTGAACTTTCTCTACAATTTTTAAAAGGGAGAACGAAACGTTCAGTTTTCCCAAAGGAACTCGCGAGAAAAGAAAAGCACCGCCACCAAAACGCAAATTTCACGGCAAAATGCGGGGAACGAAAAATGATCTACGTTTTCTCTTTCCAACCGGATAATTGAAATCGTGTCATTACACGATTTTAGTGCTCTTACAGACTTAGTAATGTGTAAAACGTGCCATGGTCAAATTCATTTTAAAGAATCAGTTTTTCGCGGAGCGGGGTTTAAATTTGTAATGGTGTGCGGTGGTGGTTCACGAAAAATTAATTGTGGACCTCAGGTGAATACGAGGTATGAAATAAATTGTCGGATCATACTTGTGTTTCGATTACTGGGCATTGGTATAGCGGGATTAAATATTTTTTCTGGACTAATGGACATGAGCAGCAGTTTTGGTCGGTCTTCGTACTATAGTGTGATTGAGCACTTGATTCACAAGTGATTCACACTTGCGCGAAAACTATGTTCGTTATCGTATGTTCAAAAGCCGTGAAAGAAGAAAAAGAAGAAAATATAAAAAGAGGAAAAACAGCCGACGATTTCATTGTTTCTAGAGAAACACGTGGAAGGAACGAGGTTTTTTGTCGCTTTTTGGAATTGCAACTCTCATCGCCAAATTCACAGGGAAAATGGTTGATTTTAACGTGAAAAGAAATTATTGCCAAGAATGTACGTTTTGGAATATAAAAAAAGATACACCAAGGTATGCTGCGTGACTTGAAAATCACAAAGAAGAATGTTCCATAAATATTTTTGATTCGTTAGGAAAAATAGAAACACGCGATGGAAGTTGATTCCATCATAGAAATGTTCAAAGCATCCGAAGAGAAGTATGGAGTGAAATACCGCAACTCTATTGGTGATGGAGACTCAAAAACAATAACCATTAGAACCCGAAAGGTATCAAAAACATTACTTTCCTCCTAAATTTTCGACGCGAAAATTTAAACGCACTTTACTCAAATTCATATTTTTCGAACTTGCCCGATTCACAGTTTAAAGAATATTTGACATATCAACTTGAAATTTCGAATACATATTTTTGAAATGTTTTATTAGTCGGTGAACTACTCAAAACTGATAAAAAATTGTTTTAAACAAATTCAAACTAAAATTTTCCGAAAAATCGAGTTTTTTGTTTATTCAGTTGTTTTTTTGTACAATAATGATTTTTTTTCGAAATTTTTCTAGTTCACCGATCAACCTTGAAACCCAGCTTGAAAAAACTTTTTGAATTTGTTTTTTCAGATCTTTGTGTAAGAAGCTATAAATCGTGCAATTTGGTGTATCGTTTTTGGACACAATGCACAAAAAAGCTTATAAATTGTAATGTAAATTCTTTATCAAACCAATAAAATTATTTTTTGTATTCCAAGGTAAGCTCAATAAATCACAAAAATTTTGGAAAAATTTGTTTTGTTCTTCATCCCCAAGAATCTTTAAAAATCGCTTACTTTTCAGGCTGCTAACCGGGATTCCCCCTTAAGTAAAACGGTATTGTCTTAAAGAAATGGAAGGGTACCTTATTTAGCCATCTTCTCTTTTACAAAAAAAATAAATTATAAAAAAGATTAAATAGTGTATTATCAATTATTTACAGCTTTAATTAAATCCAATAATTGTTTTAAAAGGAAGTAGCCTGCACTTTCAAAAAAAATATATTTGAGCTTCCAATAGTTTATGGTAAATTACAATTTCAATTTTGTGACTAAAAAATGTTATTTTTTCAATACATCATTTGACAAAAGTTTAAAGACGTTAAATTTAGCTAAATTAAATTCATTATTAAGTGGTACTAAAATAGTAACCTAACATAATGTTATCTAAATTTATTTGTCGTATAAAAAGTACATTTGATATTTATGTATTTATTTTAAATTACGTAGAAGTTATTATTTCTTAATTTTAAAATAAGTATGAACAATGCTTAATTTAAAAACTTAGTAGTAGGTAAAAATATAAAATAATGTAACATTTTTTTTACAAAATTTCAGTTGAATAAATACAGAAGGGCTGAGGGGGTAAATCGACAGAAGCAAAAATAAATAAAGAATTAGAATCTTGTAAGAGTAATTACACTTGAAACATTATCTCACTTATAAGGATTCCTACACTTGAAATTTGAATATTATTTATGCGTTTAAATAAAATATATAGATTCTGATAGAAAATGAGAATAAATCCCTAGTGACACGTCACAAATTATTACATTATTAACAGTTTCAAACACTAGATGTGCTAAGGTAGATTTTCGAAATTCATTTATTAAATAGAATCTCAAATTAATGAATTAAAATAATTCTTAATCGGAACAACTCAGAAAATAAAATAAAAAGATTCAACAATGGCTGCAAGTAAATGTATTATATTTTTTAACTGACTATATTCTCAACTGAGGCTAATGCTAATCATCTCTTCATTAGGTCGTATTAGATAATAGTTGTGATCTCTTGATGTATCGTTAAAAAAAGTTGGGCAAGTGAGAGCTGAGAAAATAATTGAGTGCCACAAAACAAAATCCTTGATATTCATTGAAGTTATTAAATATTAAAGACCCCATCGCTGTAGTCTTCCTTCGTTAAAGAATTTCTTTTTTATAATAAATTTTTTTCCTAAGTGATATGTTTATTTATTTTTGATATAGTTATATCTAATAGTTTTTAAATAGTAAGTAGTAATATCAAAAAGGATTGTTGAGAGAAAAAATATAATTGTTGATTTGAAATTAGCACGAAAAATTTAATTAATAAATATAGTTTAAAAAAACTAAAAAACACGCTTTTAAAGCACATCGAACTAAAAAGTTAAAAATAATTTTTAAAATAAACTTAAAACAATAATGAACAAAAAATACTAGTACTATTGAGATAAAAGCGTCGGGCGCTCAATATACGAAAAATATGGCACGAAGCACCCACGCTTTTATCACAATAATTCTAGTACTTTTCGTTCAATATTGTTTTAAGCTTATTTTAAAAATTAATACGGGAATCATCCCCCGTAATCGGAATGAATGCACCACATATCTCTTAATGAGAATAAAGCGTATTAATATATAAGTTTTAATAGTAATTAGAATATATATATAAATGTAAAGGGACTTAAGTAAGTAAACGTATCATGCATGAGGTATAGCCGTATTTTGTGGGTGGGGGGAACATTATATATGGCGGCAGAGGCGTCGGCTGTAGGAATATTCAAATGAATATTAACATATACGTATATACGTATAAATATTAATATATATATGTATATATATATATATATATTAATATTAGCGGTGGCGGTAGGAATATAATGATCTTCGCATAATATCGCGGCACTTTTGCTGTCGTAGACGACGCGATGTTTGGCGTGATCCTCGGGCGTCAAAAGGTTAGCAATGTAGATGACAACAGTGCGCGATTGCGGATCGGTTTGTTGACGTCACTTTAGCAACGAGAAGAAGACTACGGTATCATTAACGGCGGGACGTCGTCGGCCGTGCGGCACTTGCTGGACTTTGCACCGTGGCGTAAAACGACGCGGGGCTGTGTCAATTTCAATAAAACTTTGTTATATATATATATATATATAATTGATGACACGCGCGCGTCTACGGGTTGGAAAATATTGTTGTCTACGAATGGTGAGCGGGATGGGGCAAATGCGTTACGACAGTCTAGTCTCAAGGTCATACACAACGGGATACGCGACATAATAACACGTGCCGCGTGCAGTTACAAACTTACAAACAACAACAAACGACAAACATACAAGTGAAACTAATATAAGCGTGTTAAATATAGTTTAAAAAAACTAAAAAACACGCTTTTAAAGAACATCGAACTAAAAAGTTAAAAATAATTTTTAAAATAAGCGTAAAACAATAATGAACGAAAAGTACTAGTATTATTGTGATAAAAGCGTGGGTGCTTTGTGCTATATTTTTCGTATATTGAGCGCCCGACGCTTTTATCACAATAATACTAGTACTTTTCGTTCATTATTGTTTTACGCTTATTTTAAAAATTATTTTTAACTTTTTAGTTCGATGTTCTTTAAAAGCGTGTTTTTTAGTTTTTTTAAACTATATTTATTTTTCACTTTTTAGTTACATGTTATGATAGTAGTTACTATCAATATCATGGTTGTA